CAGTAATGACTGAGCGCAGACAAAAAAAAAAAAAAAAAAGACGGGGGGAAATGAAGAGGAGTGGGCTGTTTACAAAATAACCACAGAATTACCCACACACGCTACATATTTTAGCAAAGAGCTGGCATGTCACAAGTAAGTCTTCTACCCACCCAAATTAACAAAATTCTGCTCCCTTTGTTTTATAATGAACTGCAAATGAAAGGCCTGGTTCACCTTGTTTTCCGTGAAACAGGCACTTAAATTGTTATTTGATTTAACAGGAATAATCCAAGCACAGAAACAAACTCTGCCTGTGGAACAGATTAAACAAGGAAAGGTGCACACCTTTTGAAGGGTTTCAGCGCTATTAGCAGGACAAATCTGTTCACTTCCCAGAAAAGATGGAGTGAAAATCCCTCGTGTGCAATATGAGACACGTGTCGCCTGCTGCTCCTACCGTGTATGATTAGAGCCACTGGCCATAAACCAATGAGGTGGAATTGTCTATGTAAGCGAATGCATCATATATATTCCAGGGAAACAACCTTTTGAAAGCAGATCTGTAACTGCTGACAGTGGTTTGGTCTTTGCTTTGCTTTGAAATACATTTTGGGCATACGTTAACGTTATTATATACTGAACAGCCGACCCGTGCATTTTGACTCAGTACAATCACATTGCTATAATCAGAACAGTATTTTCTGTTTCAGCAAAGCAGAATGAGCTTTGTGAGATTCTCATCCTAGTAGGAACTTAGGAAGGACTATCTTGTTCATGTTGGGACCCAGGTACAGTACATTAGCACAAATACTTAGCATGAGATACGGACCGCCAGTCCTGAAATCCCGGATTTCTGCAGAAATAGCTTCCAGTTGACATTGGAGGTGGGTCACGTGATACTGGACTGGAGGAAGCAACAAGTGTGATTCCCTTCACCAGTTCATCCATAGACAAAACACACAGGGTGGCAAGCATGTGGAAAGGCCCATTGTGGTTGGGAAATTTGGGATTAAGAAGCAGGATAATCAGGAAAAAGGGATTTTGAGGGGAAGTGTGAAGGAAGAGAGTATTATGACTTCATATTGCTGCTTCTCTGGGAGGGAATGTCAGATCTAATACACAAATTACACTCATTTAGCAGCTTTCAAATTTGAAGAACAATGGCAGGTTTTCTTTACAGAGAAACTGTAAAACTGTATTGTTTCAGACAACTATTTAAATAATATTTTAAAGCATTAAAAAAATTAAAATGTCACTATAAACTTTAAAGGAAGAGAATCAGTTTATCTATCTTATGATGCATAAAGTAGTAGCCTTCTTTGAATACAGCTCAATTCCTGGTGGCTTCATGGTACAGAACGTGGTCAGATTCAGATTTTCACTGATTACACCAAAAACAGCTATAGAACTGAGTCAAAAGCTCAGTTTGCCCAAACATCCAGTTTTTCAGAATGTAAAAGGGAACAGGTCAGATGGCATATGACACAGGAGCAATGGATTTTGCACAAAACTTCTGAGCACAATTTGCTGTCTGTTGGTCTTGCTTGTTGATTTTGCTTATTGGTCAGAATATTCCTGCTCTATCGCTGGAGTAAGATAGGGGGGCTGTGGAGCTTCAGGAGACAGGAACTATAGCTTGATAGCAGAACATACAACATTTATGAACAATACTGCAGATCTGATCCCTGCAATTCACAATCAAAAGATCTCAGGTAGTTTTAGATTAAATGGTGCAAATAATTATTTTAATTGTGTAAACATTCACATTCCAAGTATGAATCAGATTTTGATTTCTGGGGGATTTGCTGAGGACTATCTATTTGCGTGGGGAGTTTGAGCATCCCTAGAAAAGAATTAAAAATCAGAACAAAACAATCTAACAGAATTGCAGAGGGAAATTAGACTCTGATTCTTCTATTTCAAATATCTAATCTCTGAAATTGTAATAACTGTTTGTTACTAGGTTGATTTGGGACAAAAGAATTTATCTTATGTCAACCACTTCCCAAATTACTTTGTATTCCCACGTTCTTGCTCTGCCCCTCTTCATCCATCATCCATCCATCACACTCTATCCCTGCCTATTTTGCCATCAGAATTCTGCTCAACCTGTCTGATTTTTGTTGAAGCATATGAACTGGTTCTGCAGTTACCTGATTTTTATCTGTAGTACTTTTTAATCTATAGTCTTTTATCTATAGTCTTCATTTTGGGTGATAGTTTTAATTACTTTTAAAACTTCAAATCTCTAGCTATTTTATATTCTAATGTGTGAGTCCCTGAACATCCTGGGTGAAGACAATTAAATAAGCTTTCATTTACATAGAGGCTTACAAGGAAACACAAACAGAGAGACCCTTGAGATTATTAAAAAGAGAAAGCATACAAGCAGGCAAACAATGCCAAAAGCACAGGAAGAAAACTACATACCCCAAAATTACTGGAGGAAAAATAGAGAAGAAAATGCCAGTCTTCTAACTACAAAGTGAGTTCATAAAGGCTAATTCCAAAGCAGTCAAATTAATCAGAACGAATCATATGCTTAGGACATGTTCAGAAATCCAGATCACTTTTAGGCTCTAAACATGGCTTTGAAAATTATTAAAATAGGGGATCATTTGGGGGCACATCTAACTCAAGGGATGCGTATCTCACAATAATATTCTCTTTGGGGGCTGCAGTTTACATGATTTCCAGTTCTTCCTACACATTTCAAAAGTTCCATGCTATATTTTATTGAGCCCTATCTGATACAACTCAAAGCACAAGCAAAAGAGATGACTAAAATGGCCTCAATTGGTATTTTGCAAAAATACTAATACTTAGAATAACTAGAATATCTAAAGTTTTGAAATTCTGAATTTTGGAAAAAATGTGAAAGTGTTTATGATGGATTTTTGGACTTGTACATTGCATATTTGCTGCTTGGGTCACATCAAAGGGAGATAATTATATGAATGTTAGGTACAAGTTCACATTGTGCTAAAGCATCCAACTAAAAATGTGGGGAAAGTTAAGAAAGCACAAGTTCCAATAATTCTTGCTGAATGCATAACTATTATTCTGAAATCAGGCCCTACCTATGTATGTCCCAAACTTACAGACATATATTGATTGACTGATTAATTGATAGATAGTATATTCTTGATCTAGTTAAAACCTTACTTAAATGCAAATTGCCTTATGTACTTTGATTGACTTTATATTGGAAATGTACAACACTTTGGGGGGATATATCATTTTGTTTTATGATCAGAAGTAATATGTACCAAAACTTTAAGAAGTATCAAAAAAAGTCTGAAGAGCACTTACTGATAGGTCGTTGGGCTGACGTTGATGCGGCGTGGATGGCTTCCTGACTCAAATTTGCTTGCTAGGGTGACATTGTTGCCAAAGAGACAATATCTAGGCATTCTCACCCCAACAACTCCAGCCAGAACAGATCCTGAGTGAATCCCTATTCTCATCTGTTAAGAAACAAAGAAATAATAAAATAAACCCTGTTAATCAGTATCTTCTTTTACTTACGTTATTGACTCACTTACTTCTGCATTTATTTTCCATCTTTTCTCTTGAAGATCACCCTTCATTTTATCCTGACAATAAAAATCCTGCAGGCTGACAGAAAGTAATGGACACACATTCAGATGAGTAAGTTTCATGGTTAAATGTGGAATTGGGCTTCCCAATTCAAATCTAACACCTTCGCTGGTACTCATACTACTCTTAGCTAATACAATACTCAGGGTAATCCAACAGAAAGTTAATTTAAAACCAGATCAATAGCCACATGTTAAAGAAAACTTACTGAATTGTAATTGATGGAAAATTTATTTAGTTACCTAGATTTAAAGGTTGCCTGACTCCAGAACAATTCTGGGTGCTTATATTTTAAAAGAGTAAAAAGTAATAATAAACAGAGGAAACGATATATGTCTAGACAAGTTCTATATATACAGAAAACACAGCCAACAGGAGCCACCCCTTCCCCACCTAGGAGATCAACCAGGTTTTTAAAGACTTCCAGAACAACTTCAGGGTAGTTTAGAGAAAGTTTATGGGTTCCCAAGTGCCTACAGAAAGGTATGTTCCACTGTGGTGAATAGTTTGGTAGATTTCTGAATCTCCCATTTTGCTATGTTTCAAAACAATACAATTGCGAGAAATTTGGTGGACAAATTTAGAATATTTGATTCACCAGCTATTATTTATAAACTCAGCTGAATCATTCAGGTATTTGTTTATTCAGATATTTGTTCGTTTGTTCACAAACAGAATTCAGGAACAGTGGTCTGAGATTTTTAGGTACATAATTACTAAATCATTGAGTAAACCTCCTCAGTCTATGTGAGTAGTAGGGACAACAATAGTAGAGAAAACCCCTTGCCTTAAGAAAGCTTTTGAAATCTTTTGAACCCAGCAATCCGAAAGAACATTGATATTTTCACATAAACTCACAACGGGCAGATTTTAAAAAGGAACTTCAGCCCATCAGCCAGCTGATTTCAAGGGCTGCAGCTGCATAAATGTGAGGATGCAATAGTATGAAAATGATATAACAAATGAGAGAGAATGCATCATATTGTAATTCACATTATTGATTCAATCTGAAACATGGTCAATCTGGATGGTAGCAAGACTGGGACCCTTTTTGAAAAATCTAATTTTCTTGAATTACCACTGGGATATCACATCATCAACGCTGCATTGCGACTCAGAAATCATCAAACTGGAAGAGCTATTTTTTTTTTCTCCATTTCATTCTCATTTAAAGAGGAACTATTCACATTGCTATGCTTTTTGCAGCTTCTCCTGAAACAAGAACCCTGGAGCATCTTGTAACTGTCAGGCATAAAAGTGTATTACATGCACTGTAAAAACTGGAACAGCATCAGAACCTTTTCAGCATAAAGAGGAATTATATTTTAGATATGTTTCAACAATCATAGATTATTTGCATAGGAAATAGTCTTCAGGAATAGGAAATCTCTTCCTTGCTTAAACTACTTCTGACTTTGAGAGCAATCATTTGTCTCACTTGCTAAAACGTTTTCATCTACAGTACTTAGCAAATTTTGAGCATTTTGGCCATGCTCACAACTATATCTTTGCCAGAAGGCTGAAATTTCACAACTGGAAACTTTCTGAAAACAGGGGAGAGGAGCTTAATATAAAAGAGAATAGTCCATTTCATGATTGAGTCATTCCAGGAAAATAAACAAAAAAAGAATCAGCTACAACAATTTAAAACTGGAAAAACTGGAAAATGGAAAAATGGAACAACTGGAACAAAATGTATGTAAATTTACCAAGTTAATGTCAATGTTAAAGTAGATCAGTTGTTTAATAATGAAAGAAAAACGAGTTAAGAAATCAAAGTAATTCTTGCCAACACAACTGTATTGATAAAATGTGTTGCACAGAAAGATATTATCTACCCAACATTTATCTCCTGTGTAAATTCTAATTCACTGGGATCAGACAGAAACAATCTGCATTGAACCAAAACAAAACTACTGTAGATCGGATCAGTAAATAAACATGGCTCAGAAGTTATTACATAGGGCAAGGAGTTCAAACTAATTCTCTATGCCTTACAAAGTGCAAGGCGGCATTCTGGACTTAGATTCAACAGCTGGGTGAATGTTCAGTGGCTGACTTCCTCCCTCCCTCCCTCCCTCCCTCCCTTCTCACACTCAACAGAACACTATTTCAGCTCTACCTCAAACCAGTCATAGAAACATTTAGTGCATCTTGAACCAAATGTCTTTTAGCACAACATTTCTTAGCAAAGTAGTATTAACAGCATCAGCATTAAGGACCATATCGCTTAAACCAAATAAGTATCTAAGCCAATTAAGTTAAAATCAGTAACCAAATCAGATCAACTCTAAACAAAAGGTCTGTTTAATCTCCAGTCTGAAGCCAGAATTCAGCAGTAGGCCTTTATTATTAGACTGCTACTCAGGTAGAATGAACATGACAGTTTTTGTATCTCTGGGTGAAGACTGTGGTCAACTGGTTTCTGAGCTGTTTTCAGTCAAACATTTATAACAGAATAGCCACAGATAATTTAAAATTTACAGGAACTCCTACTTTATCCATATTGCTTCCATTTTTTTCCATCAGGAGAGAATATATCTTTTTTCAAGAAAACAAAACTATGGAAATCTTCCACAATTTCTATAGCACTGATTTTTAAAAGACGATGGAAGAAAAGTAGTAAAAGTATCTACAGCAATGGATGCCCTATTGGGCAAATTAACTATCAGAGCTCAGCACAGTCTTTACAACAAATACCAGTCTTATAATTCATTTATTTTACCTTTTAAATAGCAATATAGATACCAAGTAAATGAAACTATATTATGGTTTTTAATTCATATTACAGTAAAGTAGCAGTGAGCAGTATGTCTTCTAAAATTATTTTTACTTTTTAATGTTTACCCTTATATTCCAATAATGCGACTTTAAAAGAAAAGGTTACAGAAATAAACAGAGCTTTATACCCTGATATACTAATTTTTAAAAAAGACTAGCTATCTACACTGTGGTATCTGCAAAAAGTCAACAGTTCTATGATTCTATGAAACTATGATGCCAAAAAGAAGACATGTACAGAGTGACATCAGTCAATCTTTAATTAGAGTCAATTACCAGTATTCCATTTAGAAAAGCATAAAGGTTACAACATACCAGATGAAAGAAAACAAAATATTATAGAATAAAATTTGGTAAAAATAAAATAACAAACAGCCATGTCTAAATGATTAATATAATTGATGGTGATGAATTTTACAGACAATAAAACAAAATTTGGCCATATTAAAAGAAACTGAATCATACTGGTCAGCTAATAATGACTGAACATAAAATAAATCTGTATCAGATTTATTTCATGAGATGTAATCAGTAAAGGGATTATAAAGCATAACTGTACAACATTATAGAATGAACAAAAAAGGAAAAAAAATATATGTGTCATATCTTCCCTCACCCCTTTACCACAAGGACAAAGTCTGGAAGAAGAGGGGATTTTCCTAAATTTTCTATCAGCTGTTGGCAGTGCATTAAAATGAGCTTTGGTTAATGCTCTCCTAAATTTGGGAATAGTTACTGTATCTGATTTAGATAACTTGCTAGTCTAAAATAAAGAGATACAGTACTCAAAAACAATTTTCTAGGAAGAGCCGACAAATCTGTCTTTCTACATTCAACATGATCTGACATCTCATGCAAATATATATTCATGGCATTTCCATGATGATATAGTCACATACATTTTGTCATTGGCCCCCTTTTGTTTCTTTCCAAGGAGATGCACACACATCTTACACACACATACTGAATATACACACAGAGACATGTAGACCAGCAAGTTATCTAAATCAGATACAGTAACTATTCCCAAATTTAGGAGAGCATTAACCAAAATGTACAGCTGCTGGTGGTGGCTGATTATAACTGGTTTCATTTTTAGACCCAACTCAAAATGTTGGCTGTACAACTTTAAATAAGTTAGGACAAAATTACCTTAAAAAGTCACGTAACATATCTCAGATATAAAATCTCTTTTAAATCAAGTTCAACTTTGGGTGATTTTATGGACACATCCATGTAATTTGCTTGGAACAAATTACACCAGTCCCACCAGTCTCTTCCAGGTTGCTTTTTTTCAGTCTTCCAATGTAATCTTTGGTCCTGGGATTTCCAGTCCAAGTGCTAGTTAAGTCCAATTCTGTTTAGCTTCTGAAAATCAGATGAGCTTTACTTGGTGATGCCACCTAGCTTGGGATATACCATGTAAGTCTTCTCAGAGACAAATATTCCAAAAAACATTCTTTTCTGTGGCATGGATATTTATGGTGTGACCAAGCTAAGGTTAATGAAGATTTTACAAATCATTATGTTAGATGTGTCATATTAAGAATATGGAACAAATATAAGCCCAGGTTGTCCCAAAAATACCTTTGTGGCTCTCAGCACAAGAGGCATTTTATAGAAGAGAAATGATAAATAAACATAAGTGATTAACTTATTCTGATGTATTAGAATTTGATCAAGGAGAATGCAAAATAAAATCAGAAAAAAGCTGGTGGCAGAAGGATACACTTGGCTTTCTTATGTACAATTATTAGAAAGATTTGAAGTAGATGAAAGAACCTTTGGTTTTGAACACCGTAAGACTGAGTTTGAAATAAAATTGTGTACAAATGATGAACTTGTTATTGCTAAAATGTATAAACTTTGATTGAAATTTGAAACAGAAGAACAAGTGAAAGAATGATGATAAAATGGGCTAAAATCTTTTTGATTACAATATACAAATGGAACAGTGGGAGAATATGTGGTTGAAAAGACTGAAATTTATATTATGTTATAATCTTGAACAGAATTTTTATAAAATGATGTATCGTTGGTAAATATCACCAGAAAAATTGTCTAGAATATATGAAGGTACATCAAA